ACAGAAAAAGAAAATAATTAACACGAGATAGCTTTAATTTGATGGATTTAGAGAAATCTTAGTGGGATTTGTTTGGTGTGTGTGGGTGTGTGTGTGTGTGTATGTGTATTTTGTTTTCTGTTTGTTTTTCCTAACAATCATATTTTTTACTTACAGCAATCTTTGCTACAGTTAATTAGTAATTACCAAAAAATAAATAAAATACATTTATAAATTAAGTTATTAGAGTAAAATAGGAAAATAAATTTAAAAAATATGTTTATTTCTAACAACTTTTCTGGGAAAAGCTCTTTGTCACACATCTTTCTGGATATTTTATTTTTGAGTTTCATATCTAGGAACATACAAAACATGACCACTTATAAACAAAACAAATTGCACAAAATGTACCTTTTGTTTCTAATCCAAGGGAGTTCAAATTTATAAATGCTACTTTTAACAAGCGTAACATCATTAACTATTTCCCACAACTCTTTCATTCTCTTCTCTCCCTATCTTCCAAAGATAGATTTCTTGGTATCTGGTATTGCCACACCAGCCAGGCAATAGATTTCTTACCTGGCTGGTGTGGCTGAGTAGTTGAGCGTCGACCTATGAACCAGGAGGTCATGGTTTGATTCTCGGCCAGGGGACATGCCTGAGTTGCAGTCTCAATCCCTAGTGTGGGGCGTGCAGGAAACAGCCAATCAATGATTCTCTCTCATCATTGATGTTTCTGTCTTTCTCTACCTCTCCCTTCCTCTCTGAAATCAGTAAAAGTATATTTTAAAAATAGATTTTTTCCCCCACTGATTTAATTGTTATAAATTTTCATATGTATTGGGGGAAGGTTCAGCATACTATAACATTTTGTTGATATTAGCACTGATTTTTAGCACTTGTTAGATATTTTAATTTGGTCCTATACATAGTATGTGCTCAATAAAACTGGACACTTGGTTATACTCAAGTGTCCAGTGAAAGAGAGAAAAACGTTCCTCTTGTGTCATCACTGTGGTGTTTGAGCGTCTCATGTTCTGTAGGCAAAGCCCTAACTCCAGACTGTCACCTGGGAGCAACGTGGGAGCAGACTCGGTCTTTCCCCAGAGGGCCCACGCCTCCGGATGGACACAGGCTGAAATCTGTGAGGCTGTCTGCTCAGTCAGGCATTTTCCTGAAGCCTGTGGGTGGACCGGGATCAGAGATGAAAGTGGTGGCGAGTCTTTATTTATTACAACTACAGAGCCGTCTGTCCAAGCCATCCATTTATAGGGACGAGAGAGGTGCTTGAAACTGCAGAGAACATCATTAGTGTTTTATTTCCTCTCCCAACTACTTGTCTATGGTCATTGTGCTCACGTTGACCCAAATGGGGCTCAGAAGCGGTTTCCTGGCCTCAGGCCAGGCTGGACACACTGAGACGGCATGGTCCAGTGACCTAATTAATGGGCTGGAAATTCCAGACTAATTGGGCTCTTTCCAGCGTCAGACTTGCTGTGTGATGCCAGGTGAAGCACCTACCTTCTCTGGACCTCTGCCTGCACTTGTTTGCTGCCTGAGGAAAGTGGCTGCTATGAGATAACATGCAACTAACAACCTTCTGAGCCTTGGCTTCCTTGTCTCTAAAATGGGAATGACCAACGAGTGCCTTCACTGCCTCACAGGATCAACATAAGGCGACAATGCATGTAAAAACTCCAGTAGCTTTTACAGTGCCGAACTGGTTCTTGCTGGGGTCATGATTAGTAACAGGGTAGACCCAGGACTCAAATCCAGCTTTGCTAAACAGACTAACTTCCCTTGTCTTTCCACGAACATCCAACAAATACTGAACCGATAGAGTGTGGTTTCGTGACACCAACATTCCTGAGAGGGCTTGAGCATGCCCTAGTATCGGCTAAGTCCAGAAAAATCCTGAAGCCAGCACCTTTTAGGGTGGAAAACAAGAAAACATGGGACAATGTTTAATTGAAAGCAATAGTCAAAGTGAACTTTTAAGTTCTCAAATGCACAGAAAGTTTCCACTTAAGGATTAGACACAGTGGTAAGGCTGCTTCCCTCTATGTTGAATCCCACTTGGCCCTCCCTCATTATATCCCCACTTAATTCCCCCATAATTTGGGGAGCTATGGTCTTTGCAAATATCACAGTGTTTACCACAGTGTATTTACTTCTGAGTGGATTAGCATGAATGTGTCAATTGTATTGGATTGCCAATTTTGTGGGAGTGATTTGAAAGCCTGCAGAATAAGCTGTTATTTAACTTGGGGAAATTGGGAAGTGGGGGAAATGGCAGCGTTTTATGTTTTGCTCCCTGTGGTTCATATTTGCATGAAATCCTCATCCCCAAAGGCAGCTGGAATCCCAAGTATAATGATAACATTGGTGGTGAGAGGTTGGGACCTGGCTGGAAGGTGTGGCTTGAGTAGGAGGCAATTTTCCATGCATGTGTAAAGCGTAAGAAATATTTATTTGTAGAAATTACCTATGATTAGGAAAAAGTAGGCTTGTTTTTTAGGCACCTTGTCCACAATATAAGCCAGCTAACTTGGTTTCTATGTAGAGACAGTCCCCATCATATCCGCTTGCCAATATCTGTCATTCTGTAGGACATTGACTTGTCATTCATTCTCTACAAGAAACTCTCCTTTGGGGTAATAACACAATTAGATTGTTTATACAAATCAGTTAACTCCAAACTGACAAAAATAAGTTTCCTTTTTTCTGAAGTCATCAGAATCAAGGATGGGTCAATTAATGAGGCCAAAATGAAGAGAATGTTGTGTTTCCACACACAGCACTGCTAGCTATAAATGAGCAGTCTGTGCACTAACATCACCGGAATACCAAACCTAGGGGGTCACTCTTTTCTCCTTCTGGTCTCCCATGTATCTTTTCTCCTCGTTCCTGTGCCCTGTGTAATCTCCTAAACGTATTGCTAATGAGCTCCGTTATGATCTTGAGTGTATCTTATGTTAAAAACAGCTACAATGTGCAGGGCAAAGATGCACAGTGTGGCAGCCACCCTGGCCACCCAGTGCAGATGAACTTGGGTGACAGTCTGTGGGGGAAGCCTGGGTTCCAGTAGATCACCCCCAAAGAGCAGGACATCTCTGCTGGCTAAGCCATGGCATTTACCAGGGCTTGGTCAATAGAATCTAAATAACAAGAATGCCCAGTTATAATTGTTGTTTGTCTCCTTTTTATTTCATTTTATTTTTATTTTTTAGAAGAAAGTAGAAAAACATAATGAAAGTATGGAATAGAAAAAGAAGTACTGGGCTAAGAAACTAGACACTTAAGTGGTATCCCCAAGACTGTGATTAAGAAGGACAGAGAGTTGGAGCAAGTAGGTCACTTATCTCTCTGGTCCTCGGTGTCTTAATCTGAAAATGAATGGATTGCACTAGACCTGTGATCGGCAAACTGCGGCTTGAGAGCCATGTGCGGCTGTTTGGCCCCTTGAGTATGGCTCTTCCACAAAATACCACAGCCTGGTTGAGTCTATTTTGAAGAAGTAGCATTAGAAGAAATTTAAGTTTAAAAAATTTGGCTCTCAAAAGAAATTTCAGTCGTTGTACTGTTGATATTTGGCTCTGTTGACTAATGAGTTTGCCGACCACTCACTAGACTAATGAACTTTTTCAGCTTTTAACCTCTGATATTCTGTTTTTATAATGTTCATTTTTTATAACTCTTCTTATTATATAAGCAATATATGTTCATCATGTAGTTATAGAAAATTAACAATAAAGAGCAAAATTAAAATCACCTGTTGGCTTGCTATGCTTACAAATATATTACAATAAATATGTATTTATTTGCAAATATACCAGACTGGACTTATTCCAAATAAATGGAAATATATTAAGCATTAAAATATATCCAAATAAGCTGAAATTCCCCCCCACACACACACACAAAAAAAATCCACACTATGTTTCTTTCTTATTCCAAGAGCATATTGACCCATTCTTCTTCAGTTTCTCCATCAAATTGCTGCTGGCCTGGATACGAACTAACATTGGGATAGCAATGACCCTGACCATCAGAGAAAAAAGTACAGAACCTCAAAAGAACACTCAGAGGAGCCATAAGGACCACTTAGAATTACCTTCTTATTTTACAGATGAGAAAATTAAGGCCGAAAGAGTTGAAGTGATGTCCAACAACATAACGTCACTCGATGGCAGAGGCAGGGCTATAACACAGCTTTCCTGCCCCCTGTTCCAAAACCATTGGCACTTTTTTATTGTTCTGGGTTTTTTTATCTACTTATTTAAACAACAACGTTGAAACTTTTATTCTGATTAAACTCCAGATCATGAGAAAACCTTAATTAACCTCCTTTCCTGGTTAATGGAGGTCTTACCTTACCACACTCCGACCTCACAGCCAGGCACTCGCAGGCTGCAGGGTGAGCTGCCTTGAAAAGCAAGAATGAGTCATGGTGGTAAACTGGGCTTAGTATTAATAGAAAACGTATGTGAGCCTGTGTTCACACTACCCCTTGCAGAGATACTACACATGCTAAGAAGGCTTAGCTTTCTCTTAATTCACTGAGTTTTTCTTAAACTAAATGAAATGACATCTCTACACATCCCTTCAAAAAGGACACCAGAAAACGAAGTCAGATACTTAATAAATATTTGTTGGCTGATCGAGCTTGCTATGATCAAAGGTGCTGGTTTTCCTGGTGCTCTTGTTTATGAATGAGATGGGGAAATAGCACCCACCCACGCCTATCTCACGGAGAGGCCACAAGAGCTAAGGAGACAGTGGAGATCAGATCCTTAGAAGAAAAGCTCTGGGAGTAGTCAGGTCTCATTCATGTTAACCTCTAGCCAGAGTCTCTGAGGGGCTACCTCTCATGGCTGAGAACTATGAGGCTTATATTCAGTCTGTAAATGGCCTCATTCCCCAAGTCATTCCACCTTTTAAAATTCTTCACCTGTAATTTTCTACCCAGTTTTCTTTGCTAAGTTGTACTTGATTCTGGTCAAAGTCACTTCTAAGGCACCTAAGGCAGTTGTCTTTTGTTTTCCCTACCCAGCTCATGGGAAGGATATAAGATTTCCTCAAAGACAAGATGGGATAGAAGCTTTCTTATTTTGAACAAAATCTACTGGATGATTCTGATATGCCGACCACCTTCTAATTCCTGGATGAGAATTCCTGAGTCTGGTTCAGCAGAAGAAACTGTGATCCAGAGATTGGAGATTGTATGTCCAGGGTTTTATCACTGGTTGGAGGAAGAGGAGAGACCATCTCTTTTATATTTTAACTTGGACAACCTTTTCTTTCCCCACTAGGAACCTATGTTGTCAACCATGACGTAGTCTCATTTTATTTCAGAGTATATGTTGGTATCTCCCTGCATAATTAAGCAGAGAACTTTACACATAACAGATGCTTAACAGATACGAATGAATGAGTGAATTAATTACTCCCAAACATATTTTTCTCTTGCTACTTTTTAAGTCTTTACCACTTATCTGGACAAGAAATTATTCAGTGAGTCTCAAACTTGAGCACGCAGCAGAATCACTTGGAGGGTTTGTTAAAGAGATTGCTGGGCCCCATACTCAGAGCTTCTTATTTAATAGGTCCAGATGTAGCCTCAGAATTTGCATTTCTAACAAGTTCCCCCACGATGCTGGTGTTTCTTGCCCAGGTACTGCATTGTGAGGACTGCTGGTCAATCTTACCCAAGGACTGCATGGGACCTTGTCTTTTTTTTTTACAGGTTGGCTCCAATACTTACATTATGCTTGGACATATTTGAATATATATATGTTGAGTGGCCAGATTATTATGATCTCTGAACGCATAATAATCTGGCCACCCAGTGCATATCCTATTTAATAAAAGGCTAATATGCAAATTGTCCTCTTGACCAGTAGTTTGACCAGCAGGCAGACCAGCCAACCACCCATGTCCCCTCCCTCTGGCCAGGCTGGCTGGACCCCACCCATACACAAATTCATGCACCAGGCTATATATATATATATATATATATATATATATATATATTTTATACACACACACACACACACACACGGGTAGCCAGATTATTATGCATTCAGAGATCATAATAATCTGGCATATATATATATATATATATATATATATATATATATATATATATATTATTGATTTCAGAGTGGAAGGAAGAGGGAGAGGGAGATAGAGACATCAATGATGAGAGAGAACCATGGATTGGCTGCCTCCTGCATGTCCTCCACTGGGGATAGAGCCCACAACATGGACTTGCCCTGACCGGGAATGGACCTGTGACCTCATAGTTCTTGAGTTGACGGTCAACCCCTGAGTCATGCCAACTGAGCTGGACATATTCTTAACCAATAGTCTCATTACCAATTTTTGTAAGCACACTATCCATGGTAACCTGCCACACTGATTATATGTGTATACTCACACACACATACTAAACTTTCTATCAAGGAATAAGTATCATCTAGAATATTTTTCCTCATCTATACTATTATTATTTTTCCTCATCTATTATATACTATTATTCTCTCCTATACATACAAGTGATGTTTATTAACATAGGCCCATGTGTTAGTCCCCACCTAAAAGAAATTAGCACTATCACTGTATTTTGTTGAGTACTAATGTTCAATAATATTTATTACAAATAACTAGAACATTTTAAATTAGATTAGGCCACAAATATAAGTATAACCACCCATCCATTTTATAGATAAAGAAACTGAAGTCCATAAAATTGTGAGGCTCCCAAGATCCATTTTATAGATAAAGAAACTGAAGTCCATAAAATTGTGAGGCTCCCAAGATTTCACTGATAAGTTGTAGCAGAGCCAAGACTAGTATCTAGCTCTCCTTTCTTCTGTTTCCATTTTGAAGCCTGCCATGATGCCCCTTTGGGCACTGTGTGTGATGCTATCATTGTGTAATTATGTGTAAAGGTTATTGAAATGTCTAATACTTCTTTTCCCCAAAAAAACCTACCTCTATCTATGGAAGTCTTCTAACAATTAACAGAAATTCTTCCCATTTTATTTCAGAGTATATATTGGTATCTACAAAGATCTAGATTTTCTTTAAAAATATAAATACTATATAAATACTGCCCTCACTGGTTTGGCTCAAGTGGATAGAGCATTGGCCTTTGGACTGAAGGGTTCTGGGTTCGATTCCAGTCAAGGGCCTATCCCTGGGTTGCTCATTCTCCAGTGGGGGGTGTTCAGGAGGCAGCCAATAAATGATTCTCTCTCATCCTTGATATTTCTATTTCTCTTTTCCTCTCCCTTTCTCTCTGAAATAAATAAATAAATTTTATATATATATATATATATATATATATATATATATATATACTTGCAATAAAGATACTGTCTAGTACCATAATATCTCATTGTTCTCAGGCACTATGCTAAGTGCTTTATGTGAAATACTCTTTTAATCCTAGTGAGTCTGATCCTTAATTTTTCAAACATAAAAACTGAGACACAACAGGTTATTTGCCCATATCACTAGGAGATCATTTTCTTTTTTGGAATCCTCAATTACACAGTGAGTTTCTTAAGAGCAAGAACTGTATGCAGTTAATCATAGAAAGAACTCAATAAGTATATGTTGAGTGAATGAATCAATACATGAAAATCTCTTAATATTTGTAATCTTTCCTACTGTTTCCACACTCCTTAGGCTGCCATGGAGGGTCTTTAATAATAAAAGCTCACAGTTATCCTGGAATTATGGAAGAACATGTTTCCTCACATAGCAAAACCTATAGTTTATTGTTACTTCCCTGAAATTTGTACACTTGCAAAATTTTCCCAGCTTTTTTTCGCATAATGGGGCCCCTGTAGAAGCCTGTGCTTGCAGTGCTTTTTAGTTATTTACAATTAATTGTCCCAGTGGTAAATGTGACTCATCATCTCATCATTCTCATCCAACAGAGGGGAAACACACAACCAAGCCCTACCCAAGGTCAAAGTCAAATGAATGGAGGAGTCAAGGCATGAAACCAGTGACCCTGGCCCTGAATCTAGTTAGTTATGCCGCTGGCTCCGGGTCTCTTCCAAGATTTCTACATAGTTCCAAGCTCTCCTCGCTTTGCCAAATGTTTACCACATCTTTCAAGTGGAAGCAAGTCCTTTCAATTACGCTTACCCGGGGAAACCCACCCTACTGCTCTGAAGGAGAAATGGCCGAACCAGTTCGTCTAAAATAAGAACTGACGTGATTCTTTGTCTGGATTCTGGAGCTGTTCTGACAGCATTTTCTTGTTGGCTAAGGTCTCATCAGTAATGAACTGGAATATAAAAACAAAGACTGTTCTCATGTTGTTTCCCAACCAAAGAAGGCTGAGCACTGAATTGTTGGCATGTTTATCTGAGTCTTGAGCTTGACTTTTCCCTGCCTAAATACTCCTTCCGGTTCCCACCAGTGTGTGCGCACACACACACACAAAAGCTATGTTTCCCTGTCTGCACAAGAGTCCAAGAAACAAGCCAATTTCTACAGTCATTAAACAGTTTCACCCCGATGTCTCCAGATTTTGTTTTTCTCTTGAGGGAATAAATGAGCAGCTGAAAATAACAGAGATAAAAATTGCACTGAGAATGGAAGTGCTATGACTTGTCTTAGGTCCCAATTTCATAATCCAACTTCATGTCTATACTGGCATCTTAATGGTGCCACATTTGTGCAGTCCCTTTGAAATTTTCATAGTCTCATTAATTTAAGAATCGAGGAACATGAAAGGTGAGAGTAAAGAGGTCATGCAAGAACAAAACCATAGCTCAAGACTTGGATATTTAATTAGACTTCCCATTAAGGTATTTCTTCTGGAGGGAGAAATCGCTCCAGACCAGCTACTATGGATCTACTCTAAGAAGCAAGGAGTAAAGATCCCTGCAGCAGCCTTCCAGGTTTCCCCAATGCCCTCAGAATTTGAGACAGCAAACCTCAAACCCCAAAGTATTTCTCTGGAGAGATTTCTAGGTTCAACTGGGAACCACAAATAATTAGAGCAAGCTAACTTGTAGACAGTAGCTGCCCTGGCAAAGTCACCACAAGGGCATTCCTTGGCACGCTTGTGAATTGGCTTCCAGGCAAAAGAGACCAGAAGAGGAATCTCCACTCCCCTATCAGCGTCTTCCCAGTCTCCTCCCTGCACTCTCTTCCCTAACCCACACCTACAAATTTAGGGAAGAGCCACAGAATTCTAACCCTGGTTGCTTCAAACTGGAATCACAATCAACTTGAACATAGAATGGTGTGGGGAGAGCATTTAGGCTAATGGTTTACACTTTGTGCTTCTCTTGTTTAGCTGGAATTTTTTTTTTTCTTTTTCTTTACCCTTTACATCAAGGACAAAGCTTAAGTTAGGACAGGGCTTCAAAATTCAGTTATTTTCAGGAGAAAGGCACATCAAATCAACAGGTGAAGCAGGCTGGGTGTAAGAAACACACTTCCTATTCAATCTCGCTTTATTTTCTCACTTTTATTGGTGACGTGGACATAATAAATTGATTTTTTGTTGTCAATCCTCATCAGAGGACAGTTTTCCATTGATTTTTAGAGAGAATGGAAGGGAGGGGAGAGAGAGAGAGAGAGAGAGAGAGAGAGAGAGAGAGAGAGAGAGAGAGAGAGAGAGAGAAACACTGATGTGAAAGAGACACATCGATTGGTTGCCCCCTGCATGTAACCTGCATCCAAGGTACGAGCCCTCGACCGGAATCAAACCTGGGACCCTTTAGTCTGAGGGCCGACGCTCTATCCACTGAGCCAAATCGGCTAGGGCAGAAATTGATTTTTTTTCTTTTTCTTTTTTAACCTCAACTCTACTACACGGAAAAATAACATTCCAAAGGCAATGGAAAATGGTGACTGACGCTAAGCCTCGTGTTGGCAGTGGGACTGTGGGAAACAGGAGCACAACATAGCACCGAACAGTGTGGCCCCTGCACCCCTTGGGCCCATTGCTGACATGCTGGAATTCAGGGCCCAGGGTGCCAAATCGTCTGATGTTTCAAGAGAAGCCAGAAATGTGTGCTCTCTCATGTTGGCAACTTAGTCTTTTTTGTTGTTATTGTTGTTTTTTGTTTTTGTAAGAAATGCTGTTCCAATGCCATTGTGTGGGCTAAAAAGCAAACAAAAAAGCCTGTGTGCACCTTTTGCCTTCAGGTCTTAAGATCATGGTGAGATTGGCTCCTTAGCTTTAACTTCCCAGGAATCTGCACCTCACCCACTCAGCCTTCATCAGTGCACAGCGCTCCACTGCCAGCCTTCGCTTTTGGCCAAATTCAACCTCAGCACAAAACTTTGGGATCAGCAAAGATAGTATTTGTTTGACTCCCTGCTTCCTATATGAGATTCACACTTGGTAGGACGAGTATTTTGAGAAACTTTCTCTCAATTGTGATCATGGATGTACCCTTATCTATATACAATCTCCTGCCCTGAGAGAGCACTTTTCTATTAAAAAATAAATAAATTCTGTTCCTGTGCGGAACCACTTCTGTGGGCATGAGACTGAGCAGTGCTGATTGGCCCACATTGAGCTGAACCTCAGACACACGGGAACAAGTCAACTAAACAGTGAGAGCAAAGAATATTTCGTAGCAGAAATTAATATTGAAACTATTAAAATCAGAGGATCAGTCATCATTAGACATAGAAATACCCTTGACATAAGCTTACTTCATTCCACTCCTTTTACATCTGAAGAAACTGGGTTCCAAAGAGATACCATGTTTGAGAAAGGCTGAACACCAGAAATCAAGTCTCTAATGTCCACATTCATCGTGGTTTTGTTATTAGCTATTCGCTATTCTAACAATTCTCTCATGGGATTGCAGGATTTATTCACCGCGTTTAAAACGAGCAAAAGGAAGCCTACCCTTTGTCAGTCCTACTCAGATATTTGGTCTCTACTCTCAAATGATAGGATGGCATATCACATAGCTCCAGAGACAACACACTACCACCGTATTTTTATTTTTAAATTGGTGTTCACTTAGCAGGCAAGCGGGGCTTCCTGTTAACCACACTGATCCTTGCTCTGTGATTAGCATGTCCACGGTGCTACAGAAAAGCAGTATACAAATTAACACAACACCTCATGACACCTCTGTGTACTTCCCTGAAATTACTCACAATCAGAAAATAACAGCACCTCACTATCAGAAATATGCAATTCGGTATTTCCTCTTGGCAGGCCCTAAGTGGAAGGCGGGAATCATTCTTCACAGTCATTGTTTCCAGCCCTCAAGGTTCTAGGTTGAATTTGGCCCCCAAAGTATCTCAGAATACAAAAAGAGGTGCTACCCTAGAATTCCTATAGCTTGACAACATGGTGTTGTAAGAAAAAAAAAAGGGGGGGGGGCAGGCAGGAAAGAGCAGGGGCAATGAGCATGTCCACTCTGGGATTCGATTGTCTTATCTGTGAAGTGACAGGATTGAATGAGATGACTCTGTGAGTCACCTCCTAGTTTCACCACCTGCTGCTGCCTCTACCACAGCTAGTAGAGACTGGTTTGGGGTTTTCTGATGAGAACACACACGTCATTGACATCTTTAAGACTGACACATAGTGTAGGGTTAATTGCTTACCTGGTCCAGAATATATCCCAACTTGATCTAAATTATTTCACTCTGTTGTTATTGTTGTTTCTGTAGCTGCTGCATGTTTAAATGCTTTTTAAAATGTTGTCTTTAAATTCCAAAGACTTGTTTACAAACGTCTTGGAGTATCTGCTTTTATGTTATTTTGACAATTTGTTTAAAAAACCAAACAAACAAATAAGCACATACACAGCTAAGACTTTGTTTTATCCTTAGTCTTTTAGGAGACATGGAAGCTGGAGGGAAAGAAACACTTGAAATTTCTTGGCTTTTGTCTCCACAGGGAAACCTTTTTTCTTCTTCTCCTTTTTTTTTTTTTTTTTTTTTTTTTTTTGAGTCTTTGACTCTTTTTTCAAAACAAACATCACAGGAAAGGAAGGAAATTGTGGTAGAGACACTGAAAAAGTCCATACACTGCATTTCCACCCATCCTCTCCTCATTTCCACGTCTTGAGATGCTTCTTTAACAATGAGTTCAAGATTGATGCTTTTCGGGATAATGAAGCATGGAGCTACCTTAAAGACATACAGTTCTTTTTCAGCTCCTTCTCTGCATGGGCCGGGATATTGGAGAGGCTCAGCAGATTTCCGAGCGTTAATGTTCAACCAGGTACAGTAATGGGTATAAAGCACAGAGGACAAGACAGATCCGCCTGACAGATTCGCCACTGCGGCCCATTGAAGTTGGCATGTACTAGCCTTGTATGTTGCCTTGTCTAATTAGCTGCTGAGCTGTCCCCTGGCGCCTCGCTCCCGATGGAAACTTAGCGGGAAAACTCCTGTCACCAGGCATGATGTAGTGCTTGATTGTGTTACAAGATGTCCCGTGGCTGCGGTCCAGACTGTTTCAACTAATCATCAACTTTGCAGATTCCAACACCGGGGCTTGTCTACCAGGGCAGGAGCTTTACAAAAGTCAGCGTGAATGACCTGAAGCTGCAAAGAGAATATAAGGAATTGCTTTGTTTATATATAATTTTTCTAAAAGGAGGGACTACAAAAGACAGCCCCATGAGTGGGCCCGAGAAACAGGATCACTTTCAAGTCAGGAAGCCTCACAACATCGTAAGAAGGGAAAAGCACAGACATTTGCCATCTGCATATGGCCAGGTCTGTCACCAATTTCAGGTTAAAGTTCTAGTTGTTTTATAACTCTGGGACTATTCGGTTAGCTCCTCACTTTCTTCCCTTAGGGAGGAATTTGCCTCCCACTTGCACCGAAATGTTGCAAGTCTATGCTTTTAGACAAATTATTATGCTTTCTGAGTCACAGTTTTCCCATCTGCAGACTGTTTTTTATAGGGTTGTTGTGAGTGACTTCTAAAGTGCTTATAACAATGCCTGACACATAATAAGTGCTCATTAATGTTAGCCGCTGGCATTATTATTTTTATGGTTTTCGAACCCATCATTCTAAAAGTAAAGGCGATAAAAGAGCACCTGTTGATAAGCATTATCTGTGCAGTGTAGGTTCTAAAGTTAACTACAGTTTTCAAGTGATAGTTGAGGGTACATTTTGAATCACATTTAGGGGATTATAATAACAAGTTGTCTTCCCATGCAGCTTTCCTAGGTGGCTACAAGAATAGTGCGCGCGCCGGGACCGGTTTGGCTCAGTGGATAGAGTGTCAGCCTGCGGACTGAAAGGTCCCAGGTTCAATTCCGGGCAAGAGCATGTACCTTGGTTGCAGGCACATCCCCGGTGGGGGGTGTGCAAGAGGCAGCTGATCAATGACTCTCTCTTATCGATGTTTCTAGCTCTCTATCCCTCTCTCTTCCTCTCTCTGAAAAATTAATAAAATATATATATAAAAGAATAGCGCGTGTGTGTTCTCTCTCTCTCTCTCTCTCTCTCTCTCTCTCTCT